TTTGAGGTGCTAATTCGGTACTTCTAAATATAGCATAAGTTAAACAATTTTTGTAAACCGGTGCTAGTTCGGTACTTCTAAATATAGCATAAGTCATACAATTTTTGTAAACCGGTATCATTCTTACGCTTCAACTCTTAATTTTGTGACTTTTGCACTGCAATCTTGCAGTTGCTCCCGCTCACCTACTCCCACTTTTAATTTTGTGACTTTTGCACTGCAATCTTGCAGTTGCTCCTGCCCCGAGCTCTACGTGACTTAAGAAATAAATTAAACTTGTACAATGCATTAAATTTGATTGGATCCAATAAGAAAATTTTCTAGCGGCCCGCTCTAAAATCAGATAAAAAAAATTGTTTCTATTTGATATCATTGTTCAACGGCTTATTTTATGAATAAATTCATATTGGTTGTGTTATTAATTTAATGTCTGTTTTGATAACTTGATTTGTGAAGTAGTCATTTTTTTTTTTTTTTTTTCAAGAGAGAGATGAAAATTAGATAAATAAATTTATATCCAATGCGTTATTAATTTAATATCTGATTCGATAAGTTGGTCTTTTAATGGTGCAATTTTTTTTTCAAGTTAAAATGTAATGTCAAAAAAGTGACAAACAAAGATAAAAGAGAGAATAAAATTAGATATTTGCCTACCTCATTTCATACCCAACCCACCCCTTCTAGATTATTATTATTATTTTTTTAATTGATATTCACACTCTCTCAATGAATTTGTTTGGCTCAAGAAAAATTGAACCTTAGACTCATGTTTTTCGAAGTACCAGACTAAATTCTTAGCCACTTGAACTAACCCTTATGATTTTTTTAGAATACTTAATGGAGATGATTAAATGATTTTCAAAGGGAATATGTTAGGATTAAAAACTCCCTAGGGTGAGACTCGGAAGGTTACCCTGGTCCAGTTAATACTAAAAATTATTTTCTCTGTCTCATAAAAAGTATTACTTTTTAAAAATCGCAAGTCTCACAAATTGAATTGACACAATTTTTCAAAAGCAAGGCAATTTTTGAGACAAAAGGAACTATAATTTTACCATTATAATATAATTTATATTAAAAAATATTAAGTACGTATTACTAATCAAATCCTAAGTTTTCCTATTATAATTATTAAAGACTTTTGTGCGCAATCCACCCCCACACCACAATCTTAGACTGCATACCTCCTTTCTCGTGGAGGCATATTTTCCTTCTCAGACTCTCTATGCTAATTAATCAAAAGACCTAATAAATAATAAATAGATATTCGCCCGCACCCTGTGTCGGCCTTTTTTCTATTTTGTTTAATAAATGATTTTGGACAAAAATGAGAAAAGCAAAATGGGGATGGATTCGGGTCTCCCGCCCCAAACCCGTGTGTTGCCATCCCTAGATACAGAACGGTTAAATAATCAAGATGGACAAAAACCCGGGTTCGTTCTCATTTGAAGTGGACGGACTTGAGGCCATAAATGCAAAGTTGGTAAAATGGCCATAGAAAGAGAAGATCGGTGGGGATTTTTTTGCCATTCATGGTAACTACTGTTAGGAAGTAGAAGTAGTATTTGTCAAGTTGAAAAGATGATAGACATATATTTGTATATATATATTTGTAGAGAGAAAAAGAGATTGTGGTGGGTCCCTAGCATCATGCAGATTGATAAGATGATTTGATATAAAGCCTGCTTCGAGGCATTGTTTCTCAAAATCCGGGCATGGCGCGTCAATATCTCAGGGCATCAATCTCCCCTTCTGATGGTGATGGATACAGGAACGGGATTGCTGAATAGATACATGCATGAGAGATTAATTAGATTCAAATCCATTTTTTCACTTCACTTCAAATATTACCCACACCCCCACCAAATCTACTTTGTAAAACAAAAATACCACTAATGACTAATGTACTTTTTAACACCTTTCATGGCCACGTTTTTGAAGTCATGAAAAAACAAATTAAAGAGTAACCATAGGAATTTTTAAATTAACTTCGAATTTGATGTGGTAGGTTATTTTTATCATGTGTTAAATAATTATTTTTTTAAAAATTATTTAAGTAAATAAGATAAATAAAAACACGTCAAATTAAATATTTATTTGGGTTTAATTCTTCTATCTGCTTATAATTATTTTTAAGTTAAACATCTTTGAAAAAACAAGTTAGTTTTGTTCTTTTATCTATTTTTTTGTTTTGAACTAAGTTTTTAGAGTGTGTTCAATAATAATCAGAAACACATAAAATTTGTTGCAAGTTTTTTGAAATAAAAAGTAAAAAATTATATTTGCAAAAAAAAATATTGCAAGTTTGAAAATTAAAAAGAGTAGTTAAAAATGTTATTTAAATTTTTTTTTAGTAATTATTTACGATGTGGAATTAACCGGAAAAATTAACTTAGTACTTCTGCTTTTGACTTCTTTTTTTAAGAATGTAATTCATAATAAATGTTATTAAACATGCATTTGTGTTTTGTTTCATTAAAACACAAAATAAAAGTAATTGCCAACCGGGCCTTACTATATAACAATTAAAAAAAAAAAACCTGAAAATGAATTGAATTTTTTTTTTTCATTTCTTAAATTTTACTTCTCTTACAAGAAATTTGAACCATATTAATTGAGAATAGGGAAGTATGCTACAATAAAAATAATAATAATTATTAATAATAATGTTACGGAGTATTCCAATTCCTTATTAGACTACAAATTATAGTTCTCATCGTTGATTGAAAATGTAAATCAACAACTAGGTAGGCACTTGTGAAGGGTTGACTTTGTCTGTGAAGCAATTGCCTGCAACTCTGTGAACAGTTGTTTAAAACTTTCCAACAGTTGCATATTGATTTGACAGCAAGAAATGTTGTTTTGGCAGCACTCAAGATAGGCATCACTATAATATTATCAAAATTGATGTGATAATACATATTTTATTATTTTGGTAGATTTGATGAGTGACTTCTAAGATATTGATCAAAGCTTTAGTGCAGACAATCAAAACCCTTATTGCTATGCCTGAATGGTATTCCAATGGGTTACTAACAGATTTTTAATCTGATATTGATTAATTCAAATTTATTTTATTTATTAATTTGACAAAGATGAAAACATGAACATGAACGTAAACACATTCTTTAAGGACATAATATTACTTACGTCACTCAATAATGTTTAAATTTAATTATTATCTAAATTAATAATTTAATTGCAGTAGCATTATATTCCTTAATTTTCGATCTTAACCAAGATTTATTTTATTTTCTGGAAGATAGGTAGGTCAACTACTTGAAATAAATGTAAAAATTCCCCTACTTCCTACAAATAATGGACTTGTAGTACAATTTTGAGGGACAGAAGTAGACTACTGTACAATATATTACTTTGTTTCAATCACACGCGGAACCAAGTACTTTTTGAATTTCCGAAGTGACCATGCTACTATTTTCTTTTGTTAAAAAGTTGAGGCTAGGTTTGATTTTGAAGAAAATAAGTTAAAAATTGAAGGCAAAAATAAAGACGAAAGAAATTGAGGTGTCGGCATTCCGAGTACAATCTGAATCTGAATTCTAACGTTATTGTAGATGGCTTGGATGGAAAAGAAAAGATAATTCAATTCTTTTGATATTGGAAGTGTTGGGTTCTTGGAGTGGCACATAATTCATCGTACAATTCCTCCATTTTATGTGGACCAAGGTAAATCGGGATAAAATTTGATCGTATTCCTAACAACAGTAGTAATGTATTTTTGATTTTTTTTGGACAATAAAATTCCAAGATTAATAAGACACAGACGGGATATAAAGAAAATTCTACTTTATTGGTTGATTATTCGTGTTTTAAATTAATTGGGAATGAGATTAGGATGATTGAAGAATATTAATAAAATCCTTAAAAAAAATTGCTTTAAAATATTTCATCTTATTTCTTTGACTTTTGATTTTTGTCACAATTCAACATTTTAGAGATATTTTGTGGCAAAATTGAACTCTTGGTTCCCAGAGTTACAAGACTGCCTTTTATGTTGAACTATGATTTTGTGCCCACAATTGAAAATGGCATACGTAGTACTAGTATTGTAAATGTGATATACGACCAAAATGCAAAAAATGAGATTAATTTAATGTTGGTTTTATATACTTTTTCGGGTTGTCATAATCGCATTGTATGTTGATAGACAGCAAAATGAGCTGAAATGAACAAAAACCCAAGAAACAGGGTGATGATAACTGAATCAAAAAAAGGGTGGAGAGAAATTAAAGATGTCGTGTATTTAGCTTGTCCCTGTCCATCCGATTATTTAATCTTGTACTGTGCTGACAGATGAGATATGAATCAGCTTTATCGATCCATGGTGAAATCTCTCCACCCCTCCCTCCTTTCTCTCTCTAAAACTCCCCTTTCTCTCTCTAGAAACTACTTTCTGTTCCCTCCCTTTCATTTTCTTCACTGACAGAGGAATACCTGCACACTTCCTCACGCACGCACGCATACTCAAAACAGAACCAGAGCCCCACTCCTCAGGCTCATACATCATCCTCCTCCTCTACTCTCTCTCTCTCTCTCTCTCTCTATCTACATACTTTCTCTCTCTAGCCATATGGATATGATAAGGGCTGCAGCAGAGAGTGCAGAGAGATCAGAAAACAGAATAGGACAGGCCAGAGACGCAGATTTCTTCAGCCAAAATCATACCTTATTTCTTCGCCTTTCCTTCCTGCCAATCGATTCATCAAATCCCCATAAACAACACTCATATAACAACACTCCACTCTTCCAATTCTCTCCCCCAAACCAACACACGCTTGCTTAAAAGCGGAGAGATATGTGTTAGGACTTCATGGACAAACAGAGTCTCTTGCTTGTCATCTTTTTTTGTAGTTCCTTATCCGCTTAATTTTTGCAACTCTTCGCATCTGGGTTTTTCACAATTTCTTGGAAAACTAGTTGATTTTTTCTTGCTTTTCATGTTGTGATTCCCATCTGGGTGTTGCTGAATCTCTTTCATAATGGAAGCTTTCAACCATTTTGGGAACAATGAAGCACACTTGCCTCCTGGTTTTAGGTTTCACCCAACTGACGAAGAACTCATCACCTACTACCTCCTCAAGAAGGTCCTTGACAGCAACTTCAGTGGCAGAGCCATTGCTGAAGTTGACCTCAACAAATGCGAGCCCTGGGAGCTTCCTGGTATATATCATTATAATTCATTAATTTGTCAAATCATTGAAATTTGAAGTTTTCTCTGATTAATTTAATGTGTTTGTTTGGATGCAGAGAAAGCTAAGATGGGAGAGAAAGAGTGGTACTTCTTCAGCCTCCGCGATCGCAAGTACCCAACTGGTCTTAGAACCAACAGAGCAACCGACGCTGGGTACTGGAAAGCCACTGGGAAGGACAGAGAGATCTACAGCTCCAAGACTTGCTCTCTTGTGGGTATGAAGAAAACCCTAGTCTTTTACAGAGGAAGAGCTCCCAAGGGTGAGAAGAGCAACTGGGTCATGCATGAGTACCGTCTCGAAGGCAAATTCGCCTACCATTACCTCTCCAGAAGCTCCAAGGTATGTATGTATCATGTATCTCTAATATTCTTCTACTACCTTAGCTAGCTAGCTAGTGTTTGCCACTGTGTGTGTCTATGTGCAATAAAGGTCTGAACTTGGTGATCACAAATGACTTTAATTAATTTATTTACTAGTATGAATTTAAGGCCTTTTAACTGATGTTGGAGAGGAAAACTTTTTGCGTTTTTATTTTATTTTTTAATTTTTTGTTTATTTTAATGTGACAACTTTTAGAGCTTTTGATGATACTAACAATGGTAAGAGATTTTAATGTTCCTCGGTCTACTGAAGTAGAATGTGAATCTGCTGAGATGTTAGCATTAAAGTTGATTGCTGGTAATATGGGGCAGCTATTAAAAGCTGTAGGTTATTCATTACAAAAACAAGTAATTTCAGTCACCAAAGTACGTACAATATGCTATATAATCAATATATATAATATATACAGTACACACATATGTTTATAATAATTTGGGCTGTCAACTAGCTAGTTATGTTCAATTTAATTGCATCATACCAACTGCAATAGCAGTTGAATGCATTTATGTAGCTGTGATCGAGCGTTGGCTTATTATGTTGTTCAAAATGTTTTTTTGCGTGTATCTATACGTATATAATTGACATCCACCTTTGTAGGATGAATGGGTTATTTCACGGGTGTTCCAGAAGAGTGGTTCAGGTGGCTCCGCCTCCGCCCCAGGAGGCAAGAAAAACCGTCTGAACTCCGTCGTCAATCTCTACCCAGAAGTGAGCTCTCCATCCTCAGCTTCTCTCCCGCCACTGCTCGACTCCTCCGCCTACGGCGCCACCGACCGCGACAGCTGCTCCTACGACGGCAATGCCACAAAGGAGCACGTGCCCTGTTTCTCCACCATTGCTGCAAGCTTCAACTCTCATGCTCCGTTCGAGTTTCCACCGCCGTCGTCAGCGGCCGCTGCTGCGGCTTTCAACGCGGCCGTTGATCCTTCTTCTCGGTTCCACAGGACCATCGGAATGTCTGCTTTCCCGAGCTTGAGGTCACTGCAGGAGAATCTCCAGCTGCCGTTCTTCTCGGCGGTGTCTGCGCCGCCAATGCAAGGTGGTGATTTGGGTGGTTTTGGAACCATGGGTTGCTGGCCGCCGCCCGAGAATCTTAAACTGGAAGGTGGTAGAGTGGCAGTGGGACCCACCGAGCTCGACTGCATGTGGAATTTCTGAGATTTAAGTTTGGGCTCTCAATCTCTCTAGCGATTGAGATTCAATTTGTGGCCTTGAAACTTTTTCTAATGACGGTTATCTCCTAACTAATTAAGCGTTGGGGTAGTTTAGGTATCATCATACACCTGCGGTCAAATTTTATTTGGCTCCATGGTCTAAGTAATTAGTTGTTGGGTAGTTTTCGTATTATATAACATTCTAGTGTCTTGTGTTAAGAGAATCTTGTATGTGGTACACTGGTGCTAATGTTTGTTATTTATGAACTAGTTATTGTCTTTATTTGATGTCTTTTTAACAATCTAACTTCATGGTAATTTCGATAATTACTAACTAGGGTAAGTGATGCAAAAATTGCTCATGGGTTAAACTGATTTCATAGTGCTACATTGAGTGATTACTGATTACTGATTACATAAATATATGAAACAGTGCACTTATTATTATTATTGTTATTTGGTTACGCGAGGTATTCACACATATTACGGGTTTAACTCATTTCTTCCGTGTGACATTGGTGGCAAATTATGACGCGATTCGAACACGAGACAAGATAAGTGGGTTTGGGTTGTAAACGGGTTGACACGATTAACCTGTTTATTTAATTGTGTCGAGTTAAGGTTGAATAGTTTAACTCGTGTAACCCAACATGTCGTAATAATGAATATAATCTATGTATTATATATGTTATACATTTAAACTAATTAGTATGGACAATGAAATTATTTTAACATAAATCTTGATTAAATTTTATGATTTTTTTTCTTATTTTGAATATTTTGAATAATTGTGACAATTTTTTTTTAGTATTTTATTATTTGATGAAATATTAAATATCTTATTTTGATAAACAAGTCACTAAATGATTAATATGTTAATTTGTTTAATAAACAGGTCGCGTTAGTATTAAAAATTTTGACTTAATTATAAAATGAATTGAATTTTAATTTACTTATTTAATAAAATATTCTTCCATTAACACAATAATCAACTCATGTACACGAATTACCACCCTCTATCCCATACCTGCACAAGTGTAGGACCTATTGAGTTCCACACTAGTGAATCTAATGGATGGCACTCCATTGGTCAAGGAATTCTGCCTATTTGGCTGGTTTGGTTTTTTAAAAAAAAAAATTCTAAAAATTTGTGATGGACGAAGAAAATAGTTTGGGTGGGACACTAATCCATCCCTTGTGTGCTTTTCTTTCTCCGTACTTTTATTGGGTGAGGTTGTGTAATGGCGGAATATGATTGGTGGAATTTGTTTCAGTGTAAAGTGGGAGTAGGTTTACAAATCTACAGTACCACCGTGAGATATACATGGGCTTTCTGGGCCTATAAGTTGAATTGAAACTTGGACACAAGCTATATAGGCAATTAGGGAAGGGACAAATTAAATATCCACACTAGGGTCTGTGGTGTTTTATCTTTTCCCTGTCAGCCTAATATATAGTAGGCTGGTACGGCCCAATTCTTATTTGTTGGGATGGGCCAGTGCCGTGTTCATCTCTCTTATATCAGTGTGGTCCCCATTTTGCTATGTCAGACGGGCCCTTTTTATGCTGAGATGGCTAGGAGATGGGAATTCCAATGCGCATGACATCATAACGCTACGTGGTTTGCTAACTTGTTAGAGCATCTCTAATCACACATCTAATTACCATTTTTCAAGAACCATATCAACATTTTAAACTCTTCAAATTTTATAACAAATATTACTTATTTTATCTTATAAATGTGTCCATTTTAAAAATTATGACTCACAAAAAATAAAAACTTATTTTAGTACGAAAAGAGTAAATTTTAATACTTTACCAATAAACCTGTAACCTAACGATATAAGACCCCTACTTCCCAAAGCGAGGTCAGGGATTCGAATATCAGTAGAGGTCGTGTGTGTGTGAGTATCAATTAGAAAAAAAATAAAAAAATAAATAAATTTTAATACTTGCTAATTTTTTAATAACTTTTTTTTTTAATTTTTTTTTCCCTAACGGCTATATCCATTATCGATGAATTTTTTTTAATGTATATATTTTTTACATACAAAAAATACATTTTTTTTTTTTTTTATCATTTTGTTGTAATATTATGAATTTAAATGAAATAATTACATATTCATATATTTATTTCTTACAAGTAAATAAAACACGAAATTTTATTTCACAGCACATTAATAAACATCAAATAAACTTAAAGCCTTAGACCATCTCCAATAGTTCTGCGTATATGTATTTTTTTGGTAAATCTAATATGTTATAGTAGATTTATACAAAAATTTTGGACTACTCAACTTTAACTCAGCCATTATTTTGTGTAAAAATATATTTGCCAATAACAACTAACCACGTGTCATGTTAGGACCCTACATATGTCAAGTTAATATATTGTTGATTCATTAATGGAAATGAGAAAGAGGGAGGAAAATTGAAATATGTTAATGTGGTTGTGTAAAAAAGTTGTATAAAATATACAATAATTTTACACATTAGTAATGTGACAATGTATCTTTACATACTACGTGACAGTGTATATTTTACACAAAATAACATTTTAACATACTATTGGAGATGCTCTTAAACTATTCATAGTATGAGAAAAAAAAAAAAGGGCTGATTTGCATTAGTATTTAAAAAAAAAAACATTTGAAAAATGTCCTTAGTGTATCAAAGTCGTATCCGAAAAGTATACCGCGTATCCCATCCGTATCTGAAAATTTAAAATTTATTTTAAAAAATCAGATACTTCTCTGCAGTATCGAACACATGTCTGTGCATATCCTAAGAGCATTGAGACTGAACACGTGTTCGATACTGCCACAACGACCTCAGGAAAGAATCTGTGCTTCTTAGGTGAAAATAAAGGCAAATATATATATATTTTAAAAAATCGTTGTTTAAAATAAATTTCATTTCGTTAGGGAAAAACAAAAATGAAATGTAAAAAACATAAAATTTTGGACCAATAGAGCCGTTAAGGCACTGTTTGGGTCAAACTAAATAGTGCCTGAAATGACTATAATGTTAATATTAAAGAAAAAAAATACAATTTTATATTTTTTGGTCCAAAAAACTTTTATAACACTGTTGGTGTCAGCCAAATAATTCCTTAACAGCCCTTTGGTTCATTTGTGTTAAGGGGAAAAAAAAAGAAAGGAAGAAAGAAAGAAAGATTAAAAAAACCCCAAAAATTGCTTTATGGAAATTTTTTCCAACTAAACACGCCCTAAGTGATTTGGGTTTTAAAAAAAAAAAATAAAAAAGCAGGTGGGTCTGCGGAAGATATCTAGGTTGATGTTTTTGGCGACGGATTCCACGACTCAAAAATTCTGGACCACAATATGGACCCCACTGGACTTCCCAAATCGTTTGTTTAGGCCCAAAATCGTTAAAATCTTAACCGCTAGAGCTGTTCTTAAGGTTTACGTGTATTATTAATTCCTACCCAGTTGGGGGTGTATACCACAGTCTCACTAAATCGAACCAAGCTGACTCCAACAAATCCTAATTTTGCTAGGGTTTAACAGTATTATTAATATTGTAGCAAAAGGTATGCGAAAAAGTAATGTTTTAAATGATTTTAACATATAAGATTATTCAGTGACCTAATTAGTAGAGCGCTTCAAACAGATGTGTCCGTGTTTTAGTCCCTCTATCCTTAACATGATTGAAGGTGGCCAATAAACCTAAATTTGTATGTCGTCTCGTCATTTTTATTTTTAGCTCTAGATGATAAACGCCTGGACTATGTAATGAAATGTTTGTCATTTTCTTTTGAAAAAGCATGAACTTTGCCATTGCAGTGGCATTGAGATATATATCACCTTCACCTCCAGTCCAAAACGATTTAGTCATCATCCAAATGCTGAAATCGGTTTTCGTAACCATCTCTAATGTGTGGAAAGTAGGAAGTTGCCAAGATTTGTAATGATGGGCTTGTCCAGAGTCTAGGTTGGAGTAAGCCGTGCGATCTGTTTATGTTTGGCAGCACAACAAATCAATGGTGCACCATTTCCGGGTTGGGACTTGGGACCACACGCAAGAGTGCCCTACCCTTGTACGGAAATGAATTTGCACGCGGCCTTCCCTATTCTTGCAAGTATTGGGCTGGGCCCAACTCTGCACATATAGATAACGAAATATATAAACACATTATTATACAGATATATTTGTGTGCGTGGAGAAATATGGTAAAGGCAAATTGTCCAAACACCCGGTTTTGGAAGGTCTGTCGGTGGAAGATAATTATGAGTTTGTTAGATGTCTGTGTGTGTGTGACGTGTTGTTTTTGTTTTACTAGATTGAACTAGAACTGGACAAGTAGCAAGAAGAGTGCGAGACGTGTGAGCTGGTAATTGACCTTTTTCGTTTTGCCAGCTGTTCTAAATCTGGGCTTGGCCCAATGTATGGGTTTCGGGACAACCTACATTTGCCTGTTGGCCCACAACTTAACCTCTGCTTTGCTTGCAGGCCTGGGCTGACGCCCATATCATACAATTAAGAAAAAGAGAAATTTTCACATTTTATTTCTTATTATTATTATTATACACTTGCCAATATACTCTCTCTTTTTCTTTTATTATTAATAATGAAATGGTCAATATCACTTATACATTTTCTTTTTTCAAAATTTCACTTCAAAAGTATAATTTCGTAAGTCAAATGCTGTAAAAGTGAAATATCAATTAAGGCTTAGTTTGTAACTTCAAAAATAGTTTTCAAAAATCTAAATAATATAAAATTGTTCTTAAAAAATAATTTTTTATAATTTTTTTGAAAACAAACATTTAATTATAACTAATTGAAATAATAGGAGTTTTTGTATTATTTTTCGTTTTCAATTTTTTTTTGAAAAAATATTATTTCCATAATTACAAAAGAAGGACGCATAATTTCTCTAGCATTGCACTCGTTTATTTCAATTCTTAATTTTCAAATATTTAATAATTTAATTCCAACAAATTTTTAGCAGCGTTATGCGTTTTAATATGTATAGTATATATATATATTGAAAATACTCATTTCTTGTCAAACAGGGAAAGGAAAAATAGAAAATGAGTATTTACCTGAAAAAAATAATAAAAAATGAGTAAACAAATGCTTTTTATATATGAGTTTAGTAGCGAGGAACATTCGAAACGCTTTATATTTTTCTTCATATATTCAGCGTTTTGATACACACTCTCTCTCTCTCTCTAAACTTCCCTTGTGAGTCATGGAAGAAGAATTCTCATATGCGAGCACCGCCGAGTTAGTGGAGGCTGCTTCAGACTTTGCATACCATTCCGGTAAACCCATTCTTCAGGGTTTTCTCTCACTAACTCCGCTTAACTTTTCATTCACCGCTTTATATATATATATATATTTGTTTTTTTTTTTTTTGTCATCATCGTCCTTCTAATTTCAGGTTTTCAGTCCGACTCTTCAGCGAAGGACTTCCTTGATCGTTTCCCTCTTCCTGTCATCATTAAGTGAGTCTCTCTCTTTATGAATTTATATTCATATGTACACACACACACACACACACACACATATATATTTGTATATTCTGCAAGTTTATACTGGTATATATGGATGGTGTGTAATTATCATTTGGGTGATTTTTATGTAGACAACATAGGGTTCCATTTATTCTTTTTCTTTTTCAGATTTTGTTTCCTATTTGGTAGAGTTCACCTTCAAATCAAATATTGTTTTGTAAATTTTGCTTGGTCAGCTTCATTATTCATTGTTTTTGCTCGCAGTGCTTTACAAACCAAAGCAGATGTGCCTGGCCTTGAAAATGATTTGGTTGCTTGTCTAGAAAGGATATTTAGAACTAGATATGGGGCCTCCCTCATCCCACAATACATGGTACTTTTTTTCCCTTCTTCTTTTCAATGGACAACTAAAATCACATCCATGCGCATGTCCTGTTTTCATGCCTGTTTTCAAGTTACAACAATGAATCTGTTTATTGGCAATAATTAATGTTTTGCATCTTATCTTACAATTGTACATTGAAAATGTTCATATATTTTTACTGGACAAAGTGAGCTTGCTAACATTGAGGGACCCCAATTGAAAGGACAACCATAGCTATAAAATTCTCAACACCGTACTTCCTTTAGCTAATTGTTCTTTCTGTGGATATATAGCTATATGCATAAATAAATATATACCCACATGCAGGCAGACTTAATCTGAGAAAAAACGAGACCCACTTCAGTTACATGTCTAAAACCTTTATGGATATTTAGTTAAGGGATCCTGCATTTAATATTTGTGTTCTCTTGCTGTATTTGTGTTACAATCAGCCTAATTGCTGGAGGAAAGAAAAAGTTCTCCCTGAACTGTTGGGGGTACTCGTCTAGTCTAATTTCCCTACATTTCTTCTTCAATAATTAATCTAAGCAAAGTTTCTTGGATGCTTTGTGATTCCACAATACTACTATGCATTAGGATCACTGGTAGCAGCATTTCTGTAATCTGATTCCATTTCACTTTTGAGTATTATTTTCATCTGTGAATCTTTTTTACCATTTGTACCTCTTTGTGGGGGAGAACACTACATTTGTTATATTTGAGGGTAATAGTGCTCAGGAATTGGAATTAGCATTTAGGAAGGTGGTTATCTGCTTTATGCAAAAATCTTTTGGGAAACATTGAGTGGGATACACTTTACAACTTATGAGTTATGAATTTAAAACGCAACCTTAGAAAATATATTAGAATGTACTATTTGATCTGGTTTGTATCATGGGAAAGCAATAGCTCATTTCTGACTAGAAAATCTAAATTTACAAAAAAGTGTGAGGGAGAGATTAAGAATAGCGCCTATTAGTGACAAAGGCTTAGATGATATGGACAATAGTGCGTCTGTAAGAAAGGAAAGATAAGATTAGTTTTCATATAAGGTAAGAGACAATGAGGTTGATCAAAATGAACATGGAAAGAAGTTATTAATGACAAAAGAATAAAAATAATAAATATTAGAGGAGACATGGCATATAATAGAATAGAGTGGAAAAAAAGAATTCATGTTGTTGATCCCTTTCTTCTGGGAAAAGGGCAAGGACGATGATGGAATTGCTTATTCTAGGTTGCTTTAGTTCCTGGTGATTGATTTTATTTATTTATTTATATTTTATCTATTACAAACATCACATCTCAACTATAAAGCGTGTAGTTCTGGACCACACTTTTTCATACCATTTATACGATACATCTGTTCTTAGCATTTAGAACCTTGAGAAAATAGAAAAGAGAGAGAGATCGGGAAGACGGACAAAGAGAGTGAACATGGTTCTTTTCTCGGTCAGTTTCTATGATATGTTATTATCATTAATAGAGAGTAGAATTACAGTTATACCCTTAATAAGAATATTACTCTTGACACTCCCGCTCAAGTAGGAGGAGCATAGATATTTATCAACTTTTTCCAAAAACTTCAGTAAACATGTGACTGGACTTCAGACATAGTAGGGGATGAAAATCGTTTTTCCCAGTCGCCATTTTTTTAACAAATAACAATCTACCTCTATTTGCTTAATTTCTCTCACAAAATAATGAATTGGAAACAATATAAACAGCAGCTCGATTATGACAAGACATCCTCATGGGGTGTATCTGTATTGTTAGTGACCTCCATCTCATGACATTAGTTATTTTGCCTGAATCATCTCACAAGTTGTTTAAGGCGGAGCCCTGTATTCAATTTCAGCAATACCTTGCTGCTTGTTCTTCAACATCACCAAATTCCACTAACAAAATTACAATGTTCAGTAATTGATCTCATAACCATAAACTACAGCATCCAGAGAATTAGAAGGCATTATCATTCCACCATTTCCTTGGAGTTCCCCTGAGGTACTCCAAGATTTGACAATCTCAATGATGATGCCGTAGATTTTGTATGAAGTGAATAACAACTCAACTGCAAATGCAATGTCAGGACGGTTCACAATCACATATATATGCTTTCCTACCAATTGCCTGTATCAAACCAGCTTCTTGTTTAATTTTACATTAGAATGCACGTGTGCCAACTGTTTTTTTTCCCTCTTAAAATACCTTCTCCTACAAGATCAGTAAGATATTATATAATTGTAGAATAATTTATTCTTCATTAACTGCTTGCTCTTGCACTTGTTGAATTTTCTTGTATTTATTATCTTGAAAAGTTTTGTTGCTCTTATGATTTGGGCTATGCTTGCTCATTGTGATGTGTTAACAAGTATTTAATTGGGCTATTTTTGTTGTTTTTCAGCCTTTCGTAGTTGGTGGTCTTGGGGCAGATTCTCAAAGAGTCAGATGTTTAGCTTGCAAAACAGTATGTACATTTATGACCTTTTCAGTTTTATCACTCACTTTCTGAAGAAGTTGATATTATTGGCACTTGTTCTCTGGTAGTAATTGCTTGCAAGTTTTAACTTAATTTTTCAGTGGCATCTTTCATTTAATTTTCAGTGGCATCTTTCATTCATTCTTTAAATAATAGATTATTTAACATGTGCCTGCTGAGATTTTCTGCTGGTTCCAATTTTTATTTTTTATTTTATGTGCCTTTTTTGTTTTTCCGGAAGGGTTGGAGGAATCCCTATGTTAGCAAAAAGCATACTTATGAATTGCTTGGAATACCAGCAAAAAAGAGCGCTGTAACCAACTAAAAAGGATGTGATCCATCTCTCTACAAACTTCATTGTAGTTCAAAATCGGCATATTGATCTTGAATTTGCTTAGTGTTGTTTTCAGTACAAATGAATACTGCTCGGGTTATTTGTTGGAAAATAAATGCAGGAATATGGTGTTTAGTGTTTTTAACTGCTTGTTGATTTGCCATACTTTTGGAAGTCATGTAATTGATAGTTAAACACCAGCAAAGTTAGTTTTTTTCTTTTTAATTTATGAATGCACCAGAAGTTACTTGAACTGATTTTGACATTATAATTACTTCTGCAGGTTTCTTGCCTCCTGGAGAATGATACTGATGTTGCGGTGCAGCTAGTTCAAGATTATGATCTATATCCACTTATGCTTAATTGCCTCATTGATGGGTAAGCCACCAACCATTCCTTTACAGTTTTGCATTTTGCTTTCATTTTTTTCTCTAATAAATTGTGTTTCTGCTCACTTGTGATAAGCTGTTCTGTTGACGTCATTTACTCTTTGGTTCTGGAAAGAATTAAGGCCAAAGCCAATGTAAAGATGTGAAATGTCATTAAGGAGTCATCTGAATGGATTAGTTGAATTGAAGGGAAGTAATGCAAGTATAATCTATGTACAATGTTAGGAACCAGAGTAGTTATTTTGAGTAAATTACGCTATCTGTCTTTTGCATGATCGACTGCAACTCATAGAGTTCAAGTCAGCCTAGTTCTACGATATATGTAACGTGGTTATATTTTTTCTGGTATTGATTTGTTTCATTTATGACCATTAGAGTAACTATTTTGATGTATAGCATCAAACTGTTACTGATATATGCTATAAATTCAGCCTCTCCCTGAACAACAATGCCATTGTTATATGCTATCGTATTACCATCCTTTTTTTGGTTTGGGAACCTTCAGGCTTCATCTGCATTGTCTTTCAGTTTGTTTTGAGATTGCTGTGCCAGACACCTCTCATGGGTTTGAAACTGAAAACAGCCTCGCATGACCTTCCCCAGATCCCGTAATAGTGGGGGCCTTGTATATTGGGTAGCCCTTTCATTGCTGTTCCAGACACCTAATATTGATGTTTGAAGCCAAAATTCTTGTTAGAACCTTTTTAGATTAACTGATGGAGATTCAGTCTTTTAAATTATGTACCGTGTTCCTGTTTATGGGATGTCAGAGATTATTTTCTAGTAGAAAATTTATTTCTTTCATCTTTGGTTATGCCCCATCTGAGTTGTACCTGATATCACTACCTTGTATGTAGAAGCTAGGTGTTTATCTCTTGCCACCTCTTACTTGGATGTGAGTGTGTGTGCCTTACTGGTAAAAAAAAAAAAAAAATTATAGTTTCATATTTCCACCACTTTGTATCTAGAAGCTGGATGAGAAAGTTCGTATAGGGTTTTGCAATAAAAATTTTTTTTGAGATTTATATCGAGTAATTTCAATTTTGGAATACAAGTGAGGTGCATGATATTTTGTGAATTTGTCTTCCACATGTCTCGCAGAGGCTTCATGGCTCGGGTTGACTTGGAATATCCTAGTTGGCATGATGATGGAACATAGTCTAATTTCTAATAGAGGCAATTAAATTAATTTCCTAAAATCTTCAAAAGAGAGAAGTAGGTTGATCTTGGAATGAAACTGAGCAAACTTCTCAAAAAAATTGGAAGATTGTTTAATATGCCAAGTTCAACTGACTCAAAGGATTTCCATGCCATATATAATCCATCTAATAACATTGCGATTTCACCTAACACCAAAATGTTAGAGCAATTCCCCTTCCTTGCCTTCATAATACTCAGCGAGAAGGTCATTTACTTCAGCTCTATTATTAGCATTGAGTCCAAAAGGTTTTAAAAAGCTAAAATAAGTATGCTCTCTCTAAAAATATTCCCCATCTCTGATCGACCCAAATTACCAAGAAGGTAGAGGATGTCTGTCTTAAGAAGATTTACATGTCCTTAAAACACCTTCTTATGATCCAGGTCTATGTTCTAGTTAACAATACAGGCTTTTGCAACCCTCTGTTACTCCTAAAATTTTAAGGGCTCAAAATCAGGGTTGAACTGCAGAAAGCTTTGTGCCAGCTGTATCTTCTTGGAAAGTTTGACTATTGTTTTTTTTCCCCCCCTAAATAAGTTTAATTAGTTTTAATATTTTTAAATTAATAATTATGGTTAGGCTTTAAGTTTCAGAGTGAAATGTGATTAACCTAGAGCTATCCCTGCATTTGAAGTTAGCTTTATGGCATCCTTTTGTTTTGCTCCCTATGTGTTATGTCCTATACAGTTCTCGTGAAATGCATTTTGTTTTTTAGCGATGAACGAGTCGCCACCGCATCAATGGATGCGATTAAGAATTTGGCTGGCTCTTCAAAGGGCATGGTAAGTACTTGTTTCCTCTGTGCGATCATATTTTCTTTCATGTGCTATGAATAAAATGACCATTTTCTACTGAATATAAATTTTTTCAGTTTTTCATGCAAATTTTACGCAGGAGATCATCTTCCCAGCTAATAGCAATGAAACCACTCACCTCAGAAATTTGGTGGCACGATGCTCATCATTGGTATGGTAATTTATATTCTGTAAAATTTGTTAAATTTAGGCAGAATGAGGTGTTCATATTAATGGTTTTCTTGAAATTGTCTTTATTTTTGGTCCTGTGTTACTGTTGACAATATCAAATTTACTGAGGAACAACATCATGGTTATATCCTTAGGTGGGAGGGGGTGGGGGGATCCTGGTTATTTGAAGTTTTGACCAAGTAGATAAAAATGTATGAGAAACATACCCACAGCCCACAGTGGTGTTATTTAAATAGCATTTCTGGTTGCTGTTTTAGCCTTTTGTATCTATGTTGAATGTAAACAACCTTTGGTTTGGTCTCTGAGGTTTCTCAATTAAAACCTATCTTCCCCGTGTCATAATGGCTGAAGACCACTATAATTTTGTGCCTACCAATTCTTGCTACAATAACTCTTTTGTAAATCTCAATGAGCTATGTTATGATCATGCCTGCTGTCTATGATTTCAAACTGTTTTTCAATGTTTTCACTACTGGCTTCTTACCCTTCGAATATGTTTTTAGGGACGAGTACGAATTTTGGCTTTGTTGGTGAAGCTATTCTCTATTTCTACTGCTGTGGCGTCGACGATTTACAATTCAAATCTTCTTAGTTTATTAGAGACAGAAGTTAGCAATGCGAGTGATGCACTTGTTACTTTGAGTGTTTTGGAGCTCTTTTATGAGGTTCGGCACTGATTAAACTTACATTTCATTGAATTCCTCTTTCTCCCTCCCTCCCTCCCTCCCTCCCTCTCTCTCTCTCTCTCTCTCTCTCTCTCTACTAATAGTTGCAATCTTTCATATGCATAAACTCTTTTATGATACTTTCAGTTAACAAAATATATTCTCTTTACTCTGAACTACATTGGCACTTCACATACTGCATTTTCAATTTGTTCAAGGGGGATTATCATGTCTCTGGATTTGATAGTACTATAATTTCTTTGTTCTTGGTACGCTATACCAAAATGCATCAATCACTTCAAAATAAAGATTAGAGTAAAAGCATGTTACTCCATTTAACTTCTCGCTCTTTGGTTCATTTTGGTTTTCTCACAATTATTACCTAAGTTTATGTTTCATATTAGGGACGCGTTCCCCTTTTGAACGTTTTTCTAATATATTTTTTACTTATCAAAAAAAATAAAGGTTTATGTTTCAATTTATACTTCTTTAATTTTCTTTTTGGTATGTCTTGTTGATGAAGTTGGCAGAAATTCCGCACAGTACAGAGTTCTTGTCAAGAACCACCCTTCTTCAATTACTTAGTTCTATGATCAGGTAATTTACTGAATCATTACCTCTGCATTTTTTCATCTTTTCCGCATTTTTTCATCTTTACTCCCTTCATGCCTTAGAAGTTGATTGCTTGCATATCTTTGGACCTTGGTAGCAATGCATCAGTGGAATCGATTATAAGATCAAGAGCAATGACGATTAGTGGAAGGCTTCTCTCCAAGGAGAATACTTATATGTTCATTGATGAATCTAGTAAGGCCTCTGCTTAACTCCTGAAGTTCTTGATGCCGTTGAGATTTATTGTCTTTAGAAATGCAACTTTGCTTATATTGTCTTTGGTTACCCCTTTGATATTGACATTACATCTTTCTGTCTGGAAATTGCATTCCACAAAAATTTGCTAAACACCAACGATTCTTGATGATTGCTTGCATAATTAGTTTTTGCTTAGTATAAGGTGCAAACTCATGGTAGTTTTTTGGTTATGGCATCCATGATATAGCTGTTGCTTAATCTTAATATACTTTTCTAGTCAAAGCAAAGGATGATACTGTGGTTTTAGCAATAGCTGTATAATTGTGATATAATGAATTGCTGAAGAATCTCCATTAACTTGGATATTTACAGTAATATTTACATACTATGTTGTGAAATAAAAAATTTGCTTAGAGCCCACTGAACCTCCAAACTAATATAACTAGTTCAGTAGTTCCGATATAGAGTGAATGATACTATTGTTATCTTCTTTAATGTTTCATTTGTGATCCCATTTTGTTCAAAATTAATCTGGATTATGAAAAATTGTGCTAGAGTTGCTCCGCTTTCCATGAAAGTGCATGATAAGTCTTCACAGGTGAGCAAAATGGTTGACTTCTTGGGATGCCAGCGACTGCACCAGGTTAATATCCTAGTGTTACTTGTCTGCATGCAAATGTTTTCTTCTGCAAGCATGGTTTAGTAGACGATAATATAAAAAGCTAGTGCAATATCTATGATACTAGAAGCTTCACTGGCAAATATTATTATTTATGAACAATATGTTATTTGTTTCTCTTAAATGGCCTAGAGGCTAGAGGTGGTTTGTGACTGTACTAATATTGTTTCTGGATTTTAGGTGTTAAAGCTGTTATTTCAGCCATCGATGGAAGGCTCGGGTTATTGAAAAGTCAAGATGCAGATGAATGTGAATCCGCACTTGAAGCATTGGGCCAGATTGGATCATGTAAGTATGCCCCTGAATGCTGTATGCTAATGAAATAACTGCCATAAGTTGAAACATCTTTATTTATTTATTTTTTTCATTCTCTTTACACTTCGTCATCTAACATGACAATAAATTCTTGTGACTGAATGTTACAGTATAATAATTATGTGGATCATATCAAATTGTGTTATCCTTTCATACTTATTCTGTATATGTTTTGAGGCCTTTAGCAGTTTAACAACTGTCTTTGCTAAAGACTTGTTTGTTTCCAAGAACCCTCAGCTCATTTTTTATTTTTTTTTCCTTTTTATTTCTCCAAATCGTATTCTCCTGTGTTACGATGCTTCTAGCAATCCAAGGAGCAGCATTGTTACTCTCAAGTGCACCACCTGCTGCTAGACATGTTGTTGATGCTGCTTTTGTTCGTCAAGGACATGGTAGACAGTTGGTGAGATCTTCTCTCTCTCGCTCTTTTTTAGTTTAATTTTATCATTGTATTCTCTAACTTTCAGTCAATTATAAGAAAACTGGCAGACCCCATCAAAGGAAACATTTCTCGGATCTGTGTGTGTGTGTGTGTGTTTAAAAGCAATTAAATAAACTGGCAAAAATGGCTCATTTTCTATACACACAAATTACATTGTATACAAGAAACTGCAAAAGAAGTAAGAAATAATCCTTGCCCTCAGCCTAGAACCCCCACAACCAAAAAGGTTAGAATGTTGAAACACTCTTCAAAGACCTTGATACAAAAATTTATAAATGTATAACTCTATCAACTAGACTCCTCTCCAAAGGAGTCTATCAACTAAATTTATAAATGACACCTAGATAGCATTCTTACCATCTTTATTTGGAACAGCTGTTGCTGCAGCCACTGCTGTATTCAATCTTCAGTTTTGCTAGAATCTCAGTATTTCATTAGACATGACCAAAACTGTCATTGTACTCGTCCAGTTGCCCGACTCGCCCTCATGATTGATTTTATGCCTTGGCAGTTTATGGAAATGTGTAATATTGACCCCTTGCGTATCAAAAAGTAACGAAGAAAACAATATGTATAATAATTCTCTCTTCATCCATAACCTGGATGAGTTATCGGGCTCTCATAGGTCTAGAAGAACTCTTGTATGTTCTTTTCCTAAATAATTTACACCAACTTCAGTTTGGCAACAAGTTGTGTCATGCTGTTGTGCTTTGCTTTGAAGTGTTGGAAGATGACAAGGCCCTCTACATTCTTTCAGCTTGGTTTCTTGCCTTTGCCCTTTTGTGTAATTTAAAATCCTAATTGCTGCAAAATAAGAAATTTTTTTGGTTTGAGAAAAAGGTGGGGAATAAGAAGAAGAAGCAACACTACTACCGATATTGTCGATAAGAAGACATTTGTCAAGAATTTACAGTCTCTTTTACCCTATTTTTAATTTGCCTACTTTCTGGTGGGTGCTAAGACTGTAGAACCTAGTTGCATGGATTGTGTAGCCATCTTGAATTGTACCCTTCTGTGGACCTTTTAATTGAACTGCTCATGCATTTGTACCAATATAGACCTTTTCCAAGGGGAAGAAAAGCAACCAAAAGTGTTTGATCACACTCGGCATAGAAATAGTGGAGAGCATGGTGTATCCACAACATTGTGACTTGTAATAGGATGACAAGTTGTCTTACAAAACCTTTTTAATATTACAAATACTCAGCCTGATACTGCTGTGTCCTATATACTGTTATTCTGATCTGACGTGGCTGTTCATTTATAAACATAGGCTGCTTTGCATGCTCTTGGAAACATTTGTGGAGAAACTCGATCAGAAAACAACATACTGCTGAATGGTGACACAGAAGAAAGCCTTAGGCGCTTGATATATGAGACAGCATCCAAGACTTCAAAGCTAACACCAGCAGTCAGTTGATTAACCTTTTCGTTATTTGTCATTATTCTTGTTTTATTTTGGTAACTTCTCTGTCTGTTTTCCTATTACTAAATTGGAGGAGCTTTGGTTTTTTATTTTATGTCCAGTAACAATGATTTTTTTTTTTTTATTACCCACTTTCTGATTTTGCTTTTCAGAATTTTTGTGGTGTACATGTGTCTTGCATACAACTAGGTTTTATGAAGCACTGAAACTGTCTGCTAATTCTCTGGTTTTTATTTATTTTTTTGGGAGTACAAAGTTCATTTGTTTGTGTACCTTGTCACTTCACTTGCCTGCCCTTTGGAATTGTACGAAAGTTAACTCAGTTGTTGCTGATTTTGTAGGGCCTCATTCCATCAGTACTTCAACAAGATTCAGAAATTCGTGTGGCGGTGAGAATCTTACTTGCACAGCTTACAGAGTAGCTTTCATTTCTGAAAGCTTATGCTCGAAAATACTTTTGTAATTCTTTCTTTTCTGAGGCTCCTCTTGTACTTAGTTTTTTTTGGTAAGTAAGAGAGACTTCTTGTACTTATTCAGTTAGGGTAACAGCAAATGAATCACCGTTTCTTTTTTCTTCTATTTTTGGGTAATTGTTTCTTTGCCCCCCCCTCTCTCTCTCTCACACACACACCACACACAGAAGATCTTCCCACTTCTGTTTCCCTTTTCTTACTAATAAGTTGGAGTGATCTTTCCAGTCAGCTTTTCCATATATAATACTACATAGCAACTCTTTATCGAACATAAATTTCTGGATTTACCAGCATATTATGTCTTTCTTCTTCACTCCATTTGTTATGGGCGTGATCAATAGTCAAGATTGTACAGGAATACCCTTATGTGTTAATTATATTATTTGGAAGAAGTCATGGAGTTTAACTTTTTGTTTATTATTTTATCTCCTTGGGAAGTTCCTTCAATGATTCTCTTTGTGGAAAGAATCTCCTCCATTTGTCAAATAGGATGCTAGGTGAACTATGTGAATTGACATTCAACAATAATTCCGTGAATTTTCAAGAATATGCCTTCTTTTTTCCAGAGAGACATGAAATCAGAAGAAACTTGGACTCCTTTTACAACCATTCCTCCCCATACTTTTTATAGCTTCCAACTTTGTTAATATTCTTGCACTAATTGTCCACGGAAACTAAAGTAGTCATCATGGTAAAAAATCCTCTTTTAAGAGTCAACCTAGGAAGATGATTTTAGAAGCATAATTTGCACAAAATGTTTTATATCTGGCTTAAATTTGTTCTCACGCCTGGTAGACTCAGGTTTTACCATTTATACAAAGTAATAGACTTTATAGTTATTGATGTATATATCTGTCTATCTATATATATGTAAATCATTGACTGCAGCTATCACCAATGTAGCATTGACTTTTATCAAACAAGTGTCGTCGTGAATAGTTGTTCCATATGTTTTCATAGTTGTTTGTTGCTTTGATTAGTAGGCTAGTAGCCAATCTTGTTTTGGCAACAGCAGTTCTCAAATTATTTGTTCCTTTTTTGGCAATAAAACTATTACGTATTATGTTGATCCTCATTGATTCAAAATGATTAAAGAAGTGGACTAGGCACAAACCAAAATTTTGGTTTTATTTAGTAAAAGTAGTGGTGGTCCTCAGGCTCGAACCTGCTTTCTGATGCTTGGCAGCCTGAGTTTTTAGCACTACACCCAGCTTTACATGCTCTCGTTCTATTTGTGAAAGAACTTGTTGCTTTCACTTGCTATAGCCTTATAGAAAAGGACTAAAATGCTGAAGCTCACAGAAAAATACATTTACTGAGGATTAAAAATATCAAGATAAACATTTCTTTACTTTAACCCACTGGCCAGAGTAACTATACCTCCATAAGATTGTTTAATTTAGATCTATTCTGTGTTTTGGTTTTGATGTTGCTAGTTGTACTCTGTCCTAAAGATCTGGTATGGCATTTCCATGCAAATATTACAGGGTTATAGATTAATCACAGGATTGGTGGCTCGGTCATGGTTCCTGATGGAGATTTGCTCGAGAGAGGAGATACTAAGTATAGTGACTGATACATATACTGAAACCACCAAGATAGGTCTGTTTTACTGTCACCAATTTCTCGTTATCATCCAATCATCATCTTGCATGCATGTGTTTATCACCAGCACGCTTTATAACCTATTTGTTGATATACTGCAAAACACATACAAAATGGAGAACGGGTCCTGATGTTACAAATGACTACTGATTTGAACCTTTGGTGGTTAAATAAAATGGGAGATCCCTTTCTAGATATAAGGAATTAATGAGCACCTTTTACTGAAATTATCATTTATAATATCCAATATGTGTGATAAAGTTTTGACTTCTCAATCTCTATTAACAGACTCAAACCCTTCATGAGAAACAAGCAGTCTTCATATTAACCGCCACATTAAAATATGTTCATGCTATTTTCTAGAATGTTCAACAAACTTTATTTTGTTTCATAATTAGCAAGTGTTATACAAATGTGGTGTACACGATTTTTTTAATTTTTTTTTTTTTTTTTATATAAAAAAAAGAGGAGTAAAAAGGAAAATATAATTTTGCAGTGTGGTTATTGTTCGTATGGAGAAGCCGAAATATTTTCCAATCTTCTGCTGTACCTAAACTATTAGGCATTGGTGTATCAAACAAGGCATGCAATTAAACTTCTGGATTTCGTACATGTTTATGGAGAAAGACCTCCGTCCATAACCTAATAAACTAGATAATTTGAAGGGAGTAGTTAAAAATAATAATAATAATAATGAACTAGTTAATTTGCATTCATTAGCCTTGCTTGCGTTGATATTAAATCTCACTGATGGTTTCTAAATTTTTCTTATTTTATTTATGTGTTTTTTTATATCTAATGTTTCCTTTTTTGTTTTATTATAATTTAACTTTCAACTATGTTGTTATATTGTCTATATCAATTTTGTGAATTGTGATAATTTTTCAGGTATGGAAGCTAGACATAAATGTTGCCAGGCAATCCGCAAGGCCTTTATGTCAAGTAAACTAAGCAGTGATCCCGCACTTGGTGGAATAGCTGCAAAGGTGTGATTCCAGTAAAATCAAACATTTTATCAGTTCTATTTTTTACCAGTTAAAGGGTGTTCGATGCTTTGTGCTAATTAACCTGCAATTATTCCTTAAATCCAAATCTACTTTTATGTATAATTATGATTTGGAGGGATCAAATCACGTGACAATGCTTGAAAACATGTCCATTCAAGTTTGTCCGACACGATGTGTTTGAGGGCTCATATATGCCGCAATGCATGAAATCTATGGTCACAAGCAAACTCTTCCTCCCGTTATTATGGGCTTGTCTGTTATGTCAATCTCTTGAGAAAAATTGTGTACAAACTACTACTGATATGTGGGTATTCTTCTCCCTTGTGTCTGCAGTTGCATGAAGCTGTTCAAAGGGGTCCATACCTCGCAGGAAAGCATTCTGAATCGCAACCTGCAGTAATGACTGCAGAGAGATTTTAACTTCTGACTTAACATAAAACTATAGGGACCTTACAGGTGACAGAATTTGTGAATTTATACTTCACATGTCTGTAATAGAATAGGCTCTCAAAAATCCACCGGAACTAAAACAATACATAGGGCTGGATCCTTTACATGAATATGAAGCACTGGATATCTAACTATGATAAGGGCCTTGTAAGATCAATTGTGCAATAACCTCTCCAAAGACGTTTTATTTTATTCTGAAGTTTTTGACTCGAAAAAGTTGTTCTTATCAATTATGAGAAACATTAAAGAAAATTATCAATGTTGTGTCTTTTTATATATGATTTCTTTTAAGTGCTTGTTTTCTGAGAAAATCAAGTGGAAGAGCAAGACAACAGGATGTGAGGGATTTGGATTGTTTCAACAACAATTTTTTTATTGTGAGCGAGTGTTTCAACAACTCAACATTTATTCGTTTCCTTTGGTCTTTTAAGTAGTATCCAATTGTAGCGTTACTGTTCTTAAACCTCTGAAGTGGTACCTATGTTAGGAATTAGATATTGGGTGCATCCGGTGTTCACGTTCATCCGAGGTGTTGTACATGCACGGGCATCTGATCTGATGAATCGGGTGCATGGTGCGCCCGGTAGTCGACGTAATATATAAGTACTATCTAATAGGATATACTTCCAACTCAGGTGTAATATATTATTAGTATCAAAGTGCAATCTATCTAATCTTGCAATATGGTGCTCCTATTTCCAATGTCTCTTCATTTCTTCTTGGTTCTACACGCTTGCGCGCGCACATATAGAGATTGAGACAAAATGCGTTCGTATATAACACACACACATGTAAATGTCTGTTTCTCTACCAGATCCGATCAATGACATACTACATCCCGGTAGTCCAGTGACACAAAGCTTTTTAACTACCACAACCCTCCGTGCCTTAATAGGCAATGTAGGCTGTAGCTCAACTGTAATTGCTCTCAAGTGCTCATGCAATACCTAAGAAGGAAAGGAAACAGGAAAAGAAAGAAAGCGCGCGCACACCATTTTCTTCATTTCTCATGAAGAATTTGAACTATTTCATGCGTAAAACTTTAAAAAGTGAAGCAACCATTACCTAGCCTGCCTATTCTTCTTTCCCCTTTTACTTGAAAGCCTATCGTCGGTGTTAATTGTTCCTCCATTCTTCAATTCACTCTCTTTTTCCTTCAACTTGATGTTTATGGCATTCACTAATAGTTTGGTTCTAGGCTCCGGCACCATTCCCTTTGATGTCATCTCATTGAAATAACACATTGCATCCTCTATTCTTTCCTTGTCGTAAAGCCCATGAATCATAATCGTGTAAGATCGTTGATCAGGTCCCAACCCATTCCTCTCCATTTCAACCCAAGCAGACATTACTCTTTCTTGATTATTCCAATCCATAAACAACCTTAGGATCAAATTGTAGGTGTCACCTGTCATCTTACATCCATTTCTCTCCATCCTCTCCAAAATCTCAGCAACTTCCTCTGGCTTCTTTGCGGATTTCAACAGGTAACCATAAGTCCTAGCATTTGGCAAACAGCTTCCTTTTTTCTGTTCCATTTCATCTAAAAGCTCATAGACCTTCTCCATCCGCCGGATGTTGCATAGGTGCTTGATAAGGGAATTGTAAGTGGCAGCATCAGGAAGACAATATCTCTCATTCATTTCGCGAAAGATTTCAAGAGCCTCGGGAATCCTCTTCTTGAAACACAAGCCATCAATGATGCAGTTGCAGATCACAACATCAGGGTTGCAATCCTTCTCCCACATTGCTTGAAACAACCTCACTGCGGTGCTCAATTTCCCTGCCTTGCTCAGTGAGTTAATGAAAATCCCATATGTAAAACGATCCGGCTTGCACTTGGACGTGATTATATCATTCCAAAACCGTTTTGCCTCACTTAAGCTACCCCATACGCACCATCCATTGAGAATGATGTTCATCGTCTTTATATTGTGGCGAAACTCACTCTGCTTAGAGTGGAACAAAAACTCTGCAGCTTCAACATGTTTGTACCTACACAAGGACATCAAAAGTGTCTGAAATGCAATCAAATCAAGCTCGAGACCAAACTCTTTCCTCCTATAGAAAAGTTGAGTTGCTTCTTCTATCTTATGTGCCGCGGCATATCTATTAAGCACAATCCCATATGACCTCTCATTTATGACACCTTTTTTCTTAGACATTTCGTCGAACACTTGGGTCAGTTCCTCGAACCGCTTCATTCGGCCTAGAATGTCCAGAATTTCATTGTAGACACCAGTCCCAGGTGAATACCCACTTCCATTTAGTCCTCTAGAAACCCAGTTGAAGAATTTATAGGCAATTTTCCAATCAGATCGATGCCGTCGAAGCACATTCAGAACTAAATCCTCAGACAGAGATATCCCACATTGATCAAGAGCTCGGTCAATCTCATCCATTGATTTGTTCCCTTGAACCTTGAGGAGGTCTTGAACTCTGAGAGCGTCGCTGTCCGTGGAGGTGGAGTGTTCATCTGAATTGCGCAGCGGCACGACAATGTTGTGATTGTCTCTGCAGGTGGAATCATCAAATTTTAGTTCTCTTTCTTGCTGATAATCCCGAACAGGGACTAGCCAAGATAGGATTTTCTGCGAAACGGGGTGGTAGGTGTGATTGTATATCGGTCGGATTGTGAGTCGAAGTTTGAGTTTACCTTGAATTTTCCGGGAAAAAGTTTTCAACGGTTGGAAGTTGGAATGCATGTTGAAACTCTACTTGAGTTGGGTCCGTTTGGATGGCAAGAAAACATATGATATTTATACTAATATGGCAGGGGTGGAACATGGCCAATCGAAACCCAACTCAAAAGTCCGAACCTTCAGCGAAAGGCTTTGATTTATTTTTATTTTATTTTTGAAAGGCTTTGATTTTCTTTTTTCTTTTTAGTAAATAGTACTAACGGTTTTCACATTTAATTATTAAATTTATAAAAAAAGTAAATTATTTAATACTCGTACATCTTTGATTTCTTTTTCTCTTTTTAGTAAGTAGTACTAACAATTTGATTTGCATCCATTTAATGTATCTTTGACTACTACCACAATAAGTTATGAACGGTCTTATTTAATCACTTGAGTGAAATAGTTTATTGGGATTTGTAAAAGTCCAATGAGTTAGTTAATTCATTGATTCAAGAAAAGTTCATTACGAGAGGGGTCTTGTACAGCATTACTCTTGCTATATATGGGGTGCAAAAATAAAATAAAATGAAATGTCCATTCTAATCATTCTTTTATTTAGTATGTAATTTAAAATGGGAATGACTATTCTATTAGAATGAAAATTCATTCCACACAACTAAAACTATGAAATGACCATTCCATTTCCAAGTAATTTATTTTAAAAAATCGACTTCCCAAAACATCCTCATATTCTAAGTCTAAAAATCACCATTACCTTCCACCACAATCATCTCCACCTTTCCACCACCACCGCCGCCATTGCCTTCCACCACCACCGACTTTCACCATCGCCCACCACTTTCCACCACCACTGCCGCCACTGCCTTTCACAACCGCTACCGCTGCCACCGCCTTTCACAACCGCTACCTCCACCACCAATGCCATTGCCTTTCACCACCTTCCACCACTACCGCCGCCAACGTCTTTCACCACTGCCACCACCACCAATGCTACCGCCTTTCACTACCGCCGCCACAGCCATAACCCTATACCATTGTTGCCGCTTTTCACTACCGCCACCGCCGCCTTTCACCACCACCGCCACCGCCACTACCGCCGCCTTCAACAACCACCAACGCCGCCGCTATTGCCTTCCACCACCGCCATTGCCTTCTACCACCTTCCGTCACCACCACCACCACCACTTTCCACCACCGCTATCGCCACCACATTTCACCACCACCGCCGCCGCCTTCCACCACCACCACCACTGTCACCATCTTCCACCACCACCACCACCGTCACCATCTTCCACCACCACTACCGCCGCCACTTCCACTGCTTTCCACCACCACCATAGTCACACCATTATCTCCTTCCACCACAACCACCACACTACTGCCATCGCCTTCCACCAACACCATAGCCACCTTCCACCACCACTGCTGCTACCAATTTCCACCATTGCCACCACCGCCGCCTTCCAACACCACCACATATACTACTACCGTTTTCCACCATCCACCACCGCTACTGCCACCATTTATTTTTAAAAAATTATTACAGAATATCATTTTGTTAATTTAATTTATTTGTTACTAAGAAGGATATTTTGGAGAATTCAATTAGAAATTTATTCCATTCTAAATTTTAAATTGGTCGAACCAAACACTAGAATAGTTATTATCATTCCATTCCTACACATTTCATATTTACAACCAAACAATAGAATGAGAATGACCATTCCATTCCATTCCCACTTGCATTCCATTCCATTCCATTCCTGCATACCAAACGTAGCATTATAGTTTACATTGACAACTCTTGAGGTTTACTCTTATAGTTTAAATTGACAACTCTTGAGGTTTTAAAAGTCATATTTACCCCTGAACCTGTTAAATGACAAAAATAACGCTAACCTTGACCCTGTAAAACCTCACACAGTCACACCCACCACCACTACACCATGCCGCAACCCTAAACCGGAGCACCCATTGCCGCAACCACCGACCCACCTCCGCAACCACCCCTACAACCACAACACCATAACCACCCCCGCCATCATAGACCCACCACCACAACCACCGCACACCGCTACCACCACACAACACTTTAAATCGGGGAGCTCCTTGATTCGACCTCAAATCAAACACGTAAAACACGCGTGAAGAGCAGTGGTAGTCGGGTGGTGGAGGCGATGGTGAGTGATTCGCTAGCCGACATCCCTGACGGCGAGCCGTCTAAAGGAATTTCCCATTCGCTCCCCGATCTGAAGCGTTAACGCATTGAGGACGTCTCGATCGCCATCGTCATCGAAGAGTATGTGTGTGTGTGTGTGGTTGTGTACGGTCTCGTCGTTTTCGCAGAGGGATTTTGCCTCTAATTGGAGAGCGATGGTAGTGGTGGTGTTTCTGATGAGAGAGACAGAGAAGGTATGGTGGTGGTGGTGCTTATGATGAGAGAGACAAATAGGGTATGGTGGTGGGTGGTGTTATGGAAGAGAGAAACAGAAAGGGTATGGTGTGATTAGAGAGAGGGTACGGTGAGTTAAAGAGAAGGTTATTTTGGTTCTTCAAAATTTAGTTTACAAGGTTATATTTGTAATTTATAATTTTTTTTTTTATATTTGTTGACTAAGTCAAAGATTAAAATAGTTATTTTTTTGGGGTAAAAGAGGTATGTATGATGACTTTTGAAATCTTACGGGTGTCAGTATAAATTAATGCGTTTATAGTCCGCTGAGTGATGTTGACCCAAACCTCATCAGGGTGTGAGTGCAATTTATAAATAAAAAAAAACAAAAAAAAAAAAGATTAGTAAGGTTCAAAGTTAATAAAACTTAAAAGAACAAAAATAATAATATATATTTATAAATTTGACCGAATCCATTAACGAATCAGATCGGATTTTTAAAACTCTAATATGTTAACCCATATATGGATTACGGCTTTTTTATTTATCAATCAGTAATCAAACCGTGAATCTAAAAATACAAATTCAATTTGTACGGGTTGAATTGGATCAAATTGATTTTAATCATGTTTTGAAACAAAATAAACAATAGATATAAATTATACCGTGTGTTTTACATAACGTCATATCGAAACTATTTATTGATTTTTTATCAGGTTTTTTTGTATGAGTTTTGATATTAGTCTCTTTATTAACAATATTAGAGATTGTTCCTTTTTTTTTAGACTTCATGCACTAAATATAGTAAAAAGTAAAAGTAATTCTTTTAAAAATTTCCAAAACTATCCTTAATCTAATTTCTACCAACCTACCCTAATCACAATAAAACCCCATTTGTTTTCTCTCTAATTTGAATTGCCGTTGCTATCAGCCGTCACGATGCTACTAACTATTGTCAATTCAGGCAAGCCTTTTGATTCTTTCGTTGGTATCTGTTCTTCATATGTTCTTCATATCACCATTCAAATGTTTTACATTAAAACTCAATAATTGATCATTTGTTGACTTACAGAAAAATTTAAAAATAAAATTAATCTCTTATTGTTTTGAAAAAGAAATTGATATCAAAATTCATACAAAATGAAGGAATTTAAGTAAATAAAAAAACCCTTTTTTATCTCTTGAATTGATTGGTTAGTTAATTTTCATATTAAGAATCATTTTTTCAATTTTTAACCAGCATAATAAAAGTGTCTAGTATTTTTAGCTCAATTAAAACCTGATTATATTTTTGTTATTAAAATATAACTTATACTTAATTTGGTCAACATGATTAATTTATAAATTATTAATAAAAAATATATAAACCGTGTGCTGGAGAGGGTACTTAATCAGTAAATAAATTGTTTAACGTGAATTAAATTTGATTTGAGAAAAACAATTTTAGATTTTGAAGTCATTAAATAGCATTTAAATTAAGACTATTAAAGGGGGAGGATTATAAACTTTAATTTGTTCAACCCATGGTAAACGCTGTAGCTGTACTAGTTTTGTGATTCATTCACACCTACAGGTACGACGAGTGTTGCACTGTCAATCCAAATCATGTGTCACCACGTCAACGACCAAATTTGGGTGTTCCAAGATGTGGCTAGATATGCTTTCAAGTGCTCTTTCATATCACCGAAACACGTGTCGCATTTATAATAGAGTTACGTCAAGCCTGGAGAGAGAAAGTAAGAGGTGGGGTTAATTGAATGAGTGTGAGCGGTTCAAAAGTTGTTTGGTAGGGGGAGTGATTGATCCGGCTGAGACGGCGAGAAGGCGGAATATGCCCCACAGCTCTGCCGTCGGACTTATTTTCCGTTTTTAGGGGCAAGGAGCCGTCTTAACCGCCGTTAGACACATTAACGCCGCAACCACACGGATCTGCCGGTCGGTCGCCCCCACCGCGTGCCACGTGGCCCTATTCCCACACACAAACACACAGCTATATATATATATATATATATATATACACACACACATCTATATTGCTATATCTATAGCCTCGCAGGGGCGGCGGCCTAGTACCGTCAAACCTCTTTTTGACTTGAACCTCAACAGTTCCCACACCCAACCGTATCACGCGCATTTCTTTTCAGACGCGCCCCTACCCAGAGAGATTCCTCTATGAGATATAATCTAAATTATGATAAGAGCACTAATAGAGAAACAGCAGGTTTCTAACTTAGCCAAAGCCACGTCAGACAATCTAGTGGTCAAAATTTTCTTTTGGTTAATTTGGTTAGCGTGAAAAAGTCAAAAAGAAAAAGAAATAAGAAATTTTAAAATTTTTTAAGTGTTTAGTTAGCCTGAAAAGGAAAATTTTCAGCAAAGTAATATTTTCACAAGTAGTTAATTTTTCTAAAAATGTTTCTTCCAAAAAATACTAAAAAATTATAATTTTCCGTGAAAGTTGTATAATTATATTTTGATTCCCTATTATGCCCATATTAATTGTTTATTCATTCGTCTCTTTTTTAATAGATATATTAGAATTCTGTTATTAGATTATGATTCTTAAAATTAGGACTGTTTTCTACTCACAAAAGAAATGAACTAATATAATGCAGTAGTAGAGTCCTAATATATATTGCAACTTTAAAATAAAAAATTAAAATTAAAAAAAATTAAAAAACTATTCAATTACCAAATTTGTATTATATATATATATATATATATATATATATATATATATAACCTAATCTTATATACTTTTTTATGCTATGTATATTATTTATATTAAATTAGTAAGGGTAGTTTTGGTATATAAAATCATTTTCTTTTCACTTTCCTGCCATCCCAACTCATGAAACAATATTTTCTCACAATTTTCTTTAAAAAAATTCATGCTAACCAAATGCATAATAGAAACTAATTCTTTTCCTTTACTTCACTTTCTTTTCCTTTCACTTTCCACCATCAAATTCCGGCTAACCAAACAGACCCTTGGGTAATTTACACAGAACTCTCTTATAGTTTGCTCTAATTTTAGGGAGCAC